AAAAAAAAAGGGGGAAGGAATAATAGAAAAGGAAAATATATTAATATATCCTTGATTGGATTATTGCTATAAGCTTTATTAAATTTTTTGAACAGCATGACTCAATTTAATTTATTGATTAAATTAAATAGAATTTTAGCTGCAAAATGTGACAAATCATGACAGAAGAATCTATTGGAGCCCTAACCGTTTCAATAAATTGTGTGTCTTCGAAATTATGTGTCTTAGAAATAGTTCCCAACGGCCTGTGTATTAATGAAGAGGATTAACAATTATCCTTGATAAGCTGCACACAATCCTCCCTAGCCTACATATTTATAACAGCAGACATAACATTTAAGGGTGGCTCTTTCACTGCTGGAGGCTTACAATTTCATTTTTCTAGGTTTATTTCTTTAATAAAGGAAAAAAAAGGGTTTAAACTCACAAGCTTGGCTTCATTTTTCATAAAACTGTCTTCCAGTGTTTGTGCAAACTAAGCAGTCTGTATAAACTGCTTTCAAAGTTTGCCATATTAATCATAGGACGCTTCCCGTTGACATTAATCATGTTTGTTTTCATCGTCAGTGTGCGTGAACATTGTATCCAGTCTAAAAGCAATGAAGATCCTTAAGAGACTGGGAAGCCCAAAAGGTGTCTGGACCAAAGATGCCAGGTCAGCAAAAGTCTACGTCTTCAACGGCACGTCCGACAACACACTGTACGAGTTCAACTCCGTGCGAGAGCTCTCAGCATCATCAGGTCTATCTAAAGGCAAGCAGATCACTGTGCCCACCGCTTGGAATGGGACCGGTCATGCAGTCTATGATGGGTTTCTCTATTACGTCAGTGAAAGTTCAGAGCTCCAAGTTATCAAGTATGACCTCAAGAACGGTTCGGTTGCAGACAACGCAGTTCTTCCCATGGACGATCGCAGCCCAGTTTACCAGCTCAATCCAGAGACGCTGGTGGACCTGGTTGCGGATGAGGATGGGCTATGGGCGCTGTATCCGGCTGGAGACACTATTAATCTTGCTAAGATGGATATAGATTCACTGGATACAGAGCAGATGTGGGACACAGCATGTCCAAGAAACAACGCTGAAGCTGCTTTTATTGTCTGCGGAACGGTCTATGTGGTTTACAACACCAAGCCACCGAGCCGTTCACGCGTGCAGTGTGTGTTTGATGTGAATGACATGGTAAGCAGCGGAGAGGCCCCTTTGATTTATTTCCCCAGGCGCTACGGGGCCCATGCCAGCCTCAAATACAGTCCTGAGGAGCGGCAGCTCTATGCCTGGGATGATGGGTACCAGATTCTGTATAAACTAGCGCTGAAGAAGAAGTTATGGGCGATTATGCCACCACCTGAGGAATAGTGGCTCTTTTTTAGCTCTTAAAGGTCTGTATGTTCCTGGCTACAAATGACAAGTTTGTGATTTTCCTAAAGGGATAGTTACTGAAAATGAAAATCCTGCCATTATTTACTCACCTTCATGTTGTCAAGTCTGTATGGATTCATTTCTTCTAAGGCTTTTTTTGTGCTTCAAAAAGGACACAATTAATGTTTTTCTTCTGATTCAGAACTTTTAAATGAATTGGTTGATCCAGTTCACAAAACCGGTCTGAATGATTTGTTCATGATTGAACCTGGTCAAGTCACTGATTCAATGATTCAGTTGCAGCAGTTGACTGCTCACTGAAGGGAAAGATTGTCTGTTTATTTTAAACAACTTTAATTTGGCTCTTTTTCTCACACAAGCTATAATATGACTTTTAATAAAACATGAATCTGAAGGAAACAAATGAATAAAATATATGAATAAAATATGAAAACATGTATGTTAGTTTTACCTGTAATTTTATGCTTTAATTTGAATCCTGCTCTTTTTCTGCAGTACAGAATTGATTTTAAATAACTTAAATGTAGGTCTGTTTCTCACATAAAACTATTCAGAAGACAGAAGACTTGTAATATAATCTCTTTTATAGTACTATACAATACAACCACATTTATTATGGTTTTGTTTCCTTGCTCCCGTCCATTGTTATTAAATGATCAACAGTATTCGGCAAACTAATTAAATAAATGAAATAAAGTCATACAGGTTTTGGAACAACTTGAGGGTGAGTAAATGATGATAAAATTAAATTTTTTGGGGTGAACTAATCCTTTACCTTTAAGAATACACAGATATATTGCTTTTGTTGCACATATTAAAATATGAGACAATAATTCGTCTCAATAACTGACTGATCAATGCTAACACACTTTTTGGGATTGGATATTCACAAGACTGAAAAGAAGCAACTCTATCCTTGAAATGGCTGAACCAACATTTTATTTTGGCATTTTTGAAATACAAGAACCTTTCAAACATTACAAGTTATATTGCAAGTACAAATGATCAATACAAAATTAGAAAGTTTTTCAGATTCACAAGGGGGCAAAAACAGGTTGTTAAAACACCAGCACACAAGAGTAAGTGAGGTAAAGAACCAGATCTAAACCTTATTAACTTTACATTCACCTACAGAAACGCTTTATGCTATCTGAGTATTACAACATTGTGATATTGTAAAAACAGGACCAAAAAGTTGTACTTTGTCACAACCATTTCTTCAACAAGTTGACTTGGAATTTTTAAAGATTCGGTTAAAATATTAAATCTATTTTACTATATAGAAATATTTAAAGCTTAACAGATACCCTATGAGATGATGGAGGACATTATGTAAAACTAGCCCCAAGTGCCATGTATATTTTAAGATATTTCAGCAACACCAAATGGAGATCAGTGTAAAGTCATTGCTCTGGTATCTTGAGCTGTGCCCACCATCTGTGACAATGAACTTCCTGCAAAGTAGGTTGTCTCTATCAAGGGTCATCTCCTGTGCATTTGTACATGCATTGAATTTTCTCTCTTTTTTTATTTGAAACATATGTCCAGGACTTTGAAGGGAAGGACTTTGGCATTCGTTTCCAGCATCTGCAGTACGTTTTATTATTTATTGTTTATTTTTTTAATGACAGGAGAAATATTAACTACAGTAATCATAATTTAGCAGGGGTTCTCTGTTAAATTGAAATTCCAAGTTAAACTGTGTTTATGAATGAATAACCATGTAATACAAAAAGATAGAAACCACAGGGATAAACAAAATATTGCGGGCAATGAAAGTCTTGAATTTTGTTAAATCATTTATGACATTAAAATTCAAAGAGTAATATTATTATTTTGATTGCTCTGTTTAGCTTTGTTGGATATTACAACAATTATTCTTGGGTAAAATGGCATTACTTTTTTTATTTAAAGAAACTGATCAGTTGACAGTTATACATTAAATTGCACTGTTATACAGATAATTAATTCCCTATTTAATTCATATTATTTCAAATATCCCTGTTTTCTACAAATAATTATTTTGGTAACACTTTATAATAACTTTCATTATTAAATCATTAACAAACATTAAATAATGCTTAATGGATCATTATATATTCAAAGAGTTCGAAACGTGAGATAATGTGCTTGTTAATGTTTGCTAATAAACTTATTAAACATTAGATAATGTTCATGTTTCATGTAAGTTAAAATACTTACAAATGTCATTAAACTTTCAATTCCATGCGATCGAGCACTTATTGAAAATCTACAAATGATTTTAAGAGATGTTATAAAATGACTAAAAGCTTGTGTGCTTGCACAACACTTTTGCTGCTATTGAGGTGTGATATGGGTAAGGTTGGGGACAGGTTTAGTAGCATGGTTAGGTTTAAGGGTTGGTTAAAGGGTCAACAGTGTACAGGGGTCAATTTGATTATTATAATTATTATAATTTTTTATTTATGATTCAAGGAATATCCTGTTTAATGATATACTGAAGAGTACTAATGTGAGTGTTGAGGCACTAAAAACATTACATTACACCAAAATTACAATCTGTTATGTCTTTAGCAAGCATTTAGCTAAACTTAACCAGCCACCCTTTACACACACCTTGTTACAGTAGCTAAAAGTCCAATGCCCATAAATATACTAAATGATTAGTAATCGTTTATAAACATTTACAAATGATGATTAGTTTCAACTTTAGATTGGCTACTGCAAAAACATGAACAAATGATTAATAAATGGTTAGTAAAGATGTGTGAATAGAGGTCTACGCAACAAACAAGGACCAACAAATGAAGATCATATGAACTGAAAGTTTACTGACATTTGTAAGCATTTCAATTGATATTAAATAATCATATGTTAATCATTAGGTAATGTTTAGTAAGTTCATTAATAAACATTAACAAGAACATCATCTCATATTTCTAGCTACGTGAATATATATTAGCTAATGATATGTTAAGCATTATATAATGTTTGTTAATGATTTATAAATAAAAGTTATTATAAAGTGTTACTATTATTTTAAGTAAAATCAAACAAGCAAATACAAATATTAATCTGAAGATGAATGTTAGTTAATCACCTATAATTTTATGCTGTAATGTTATCCCTGCTCTTTTATACAGTACAGAATATGAATATATTTTGTAAATTTGAGCCTACATTGTTTACTCAAGACAATTTCCCAGACAATATGTCAAAATACGTAAAACTTTGACAGTCCAATTGAACTCACAATGAAATTTCACGCCAAAAGATGAATGAGATGTCAAACAGCAGTAGATTGAAACAGCAGGAGGATTCAAAGAGGAATTGAATTGCTATTGAAAGCAGTGCTACTGAGCTACAGAACCGTGTCTGTACTTCTTTAAATGCTATTATATAAACTGAATAAAACCCACATAAATCAAATCAGATCTCTGTGAATATTTCAGCACTTTTACCTTAAATGCCCACTTTTGTACTCGCCGATGAATATTAATGTAACCACATAAATTTATTCAGCTACATGTGACGTGTTTTTGTGTGTGAACAGGAACTTTACATGTAAACCGTCTTTGTTTTGGCAATAAATTAATGGATAGGAAACATTTGTTGTGCTCTGATAAATTTAGACTCTTTTTACACATAACATTTATATAACATCTATAAACTGATAAATATTTCAATATTTTTCATAAAACGTGTACCTTCACACAGGTTTCACACAAGGATTTGACAGAGAAAATGGTTTGTTCTTAGTATACAGCACATGACAAATCCATTCCCTTCTCTTTTCTCACTCAAACAAAACATTGTCCTTTCCCTCAAAATTGTATCCTTTCTGACCTCATTCTTAGTACTTCCAATAGTTGATCCTACTTTCAAAGTCTTAAGATCTGACAAGAGCCATCTACAAAGAGCCTTGCAGTGCTGTGCAGAAACTTCTGTTTGCCTGTAGACCGCTTGTAGAACACCGCATCGGAATTCAGACGCTTCAGGAAAATTCATATTGAAACATCTCCGCTGACGATACCAAGCTAGGAACACATCGTTGGCTTTGTAGAATATTCTAGGTACAGAGGTTTGTACAGCACTCCCAAGAACTGACTGAGGATTGTACGGACTGGAACATGAGGAACATCAGGGCAAAGACAGCAGGATCTTAGATCAGTGTTTGGGAACCATCTAAAACAACCCATAGGAGAAAATGGAAATAGCAGGGCTCTCGTTGTCATCAGAGTGACAAACGGAGGATGCCAAGCCTGTAGTTTTACATATGGCTCTGATCAAGGGCTGGCAGGAGGTTTGGGGGAGGGACAGGACCCCTGACTGTCAAAACTGGCCGTTCTAGCTTTCCACTGTAAGAGAAGACATATGAAAAACCCATCAGTGAGAGCATTATAGAGCAGTTTATTGTTATAGTAGAAGAGCTGCACCCTATAGATCGCAAAAATTGCTCAGAAGAGTGGATTTCAAACTGTGGTTGCATGAAATTGATGCATCTAAAGTTATATTAAAAGTTGAACATACGCATTATTTTTTAGTTAATTATTTTCTATAATAAGTAAATAAATAAATCTATAAAAAAACGAATAGTTTTTTTAAATAATAAATATTTTTTCAATTATACAGAGCAAAGCAAGCAAATCCAATAACATCTAATCATGTTCTACTTAAGCAAACTGCACACAAGGGTACAAATTAACCAACTTAACTAATCTCCAACCTGATTTTCCCCATGTTTTATGCAATTATTAGCATTTTACAACGTAATACAGTTGCAAAAAGAGAATTAGTCTTTGTTGAATATAGTTTTTTTTACTAGCAGAAAATTGGTACACTATTCAGGGTTGCCAGGTCTATGTAACAAAACTAGCCCAATGGCCAATTAAAAATAGACCAAACTAGCCCAATGACCCTATATCAAAACTCAAAATATGTCACTCCCATACCTTAAATACATATTTTACAGTCACTGTTATGCATTATATGCAATTGCAAATTGAAAATCACTATATAGTAATAATCATAAACACAGTCGATTTTCATGAAGGAGCTCTAAGATCCCTACCAGTGCCGGTCTCAGACAAAACTTATTATCTAGCACTAGTATTATCACTGGTGGAATATGAGTAAAACATTTCAATACACGCATATGTCAGTCAAATACAATTTATGTGATATGTCAAACCTCTAACCTATGACAACAGTTTAAATGTCCCCCAATTCCACTGGAAAACTGCAGACTTGGCAACCCCTGACACTAATTTATTCAGTATAAAAATTGACAATGTGAGCACTGTTAGAAAGAAATTAATTACTCAAAACAGTGTAGATAACAAAAACCTGTACTGAAAACACAACTATAACCCATTTTAATTACCAAAAACAATGATTTACAGTCTGTATAAACCTTTGTTTATAGGCATACTTAATAAAATATTCAGGTTAAAGAGCATGTGGCCACATCACGCCCAATCACAATTCATAGATGCCCTGACAGGACCTCAACTGAAACAGTTTATTTTTTCAAATTAATTTGAATTAATTGATGTAAGTTTGTTCAAAACAAAGACATTATTAAAACTGCATATTAATAATTTTTAACAGAACAAAAATATAATTAAAATAAACAAAGAGACCAAAATGTGTAACCTAACATTTGCATAGGGCCAAATAAAAATTTTTCCCCTCATGATTAACTTCTGACCACAGGCCAGAAAGGGGACAGAATTTCAGTGTGTTAATAAAATCAGCACTGACATATTCTACTCATGTATTATTCATAAAGCACAGTGCAAGTGTGAGCATGTGATTAGAGGGATTTGAATGTTTACAAAGAAAGATCGGTGACTAGTCAGAAATGAATTCTGGAAATGCAATTTGTATATGAAAAACTTAGTTCTTAGTTCTATATAAACACAAATTCAGAGGGTTATTATATCTACCCCTCACATTTGTATGTACATGTGCTGGAGTGCGGTTACTTACCTCTTTTTCTGATTTCTTAGGTTCCAGCAGGGGGTGCCAGTGTGCAATTGGCTTACGGGGGTATGCGAGCATCTCATTCCAGTGGTCTCTACCTAAACCTTTAGCACCACTGCCCAAACGGCACACACCAATTATCTCATTGTGCCCCACCCTGAAAGAATGAATCATTTGTTACGGAATTATATATACATTGGTATATCCCTTTAATGTAAAGGAAAAGTTCACCTAAAAAGAAAAATTAGTTTACTTTTCCTCAGGTCATCCAAGATTTAGATGAGTTTGTTTTAGAGAAATTTAGCATTACATAAGCATTAGATCACTTGCTCATCAGCGGATCCTTTGCAGTGAATGGGTGCCGTCAGAATGAGAGATCGAACAGCTGATAAGAGCATCACAATAATCCAGTAATGCAAGTAATCTACAAACGTGTTTGTAATAAATCCATCAAGATATTTATCCATAATATTGCTTTCTACAGTGCAAATGTTGTCAGTTCTAAACAAATATATTGGTGCATTTTGATGTGAGATGACAATGCTCACAGTAGGAAGCATTATTATGGATTAGGAACTCATATTTTGGCCAGAAACAACGGTTTAATAATGGATTTGTTTCTTTAAAACAGTTTTTCACTTCACATGATATTAATAGATGGTGTGGATTGGACTGGATGGATTGATGGATTACTTGTAAATTATTGTGATGTTTTGAATCAGCTGTTTGGACTCTCATTCTGATGGCACCCATTCACTGCAGAGGATCCATTGGTGATGTAATGTGATGTAAAGCTAAAATTCTCCAAATCTTCTCCAAGAAACACACTCATCTACATCTTGAATGGCCTGAGGGCAGGGGCGGAGCCAGGAGTGGCCATGGCCACCACTGACCTAAGCTTGGCCACCCCTTTGGCCACCCCACTCAAAACTGCAGTTTTTTTCTTGACAAGAAATGCATTTATTAAGACGCGGCACCGCCGTATCTCTTTATGACCACATCAAATGGGACAATTTTCAGACGCGT